GCTCGGCTGCTCCGCTCGCTCTCCATTCGGATTACTGTCTTAGATCAAAATACTGCTCAATGAGTTAAAAGACCCTAAAATACAAAAGGTGATCCAACTGATCCATTTAATAATTGTCAGCCTTCTTTATTCAAAAATGCACCTTATTGTGCTGACAGTCTGGCTTTTTGAGAAATTTCTTACTCTTGAGAAATTCGCATGTAGATGCAGTTATTATTTCTCTGTTGTCTTGCTGTGACCAGTCTATATTGCTTGAATGTGGGGACTATATAACTATGGGGTAATCAGTATAATTAAGGGATTTTGTTTTGTTTTATTTTTAATCTGAAGATGACTCCAGGTGCTAGACTTCACAGATGCTTGCTATTAACACTCCTTGGCATTTCTATAGGTATATTGAATTTGTTAGAATCTTGTAATACCTAGTATTATTCCAAGGGCTTAATTCAAAACTACTCTTTTAAAGAAATAACTTTTACAAAGATAATGTTTCTTTTGGTGCTTTTTAAAGATGATACAGTAAGCACATGTCTTAGAAAAAAGTTTTAATTTAGCCAATTCTTTACAATATAATAGGTAGGTTTCCTTTACAAAATAAAAAGTATTTGGCATATGTAGATGCAGTACATATAGATTCCCTTTGATATATTACATCCTTTCCAAATTTTGCTGTAATGATTTGTTAGTATCCAGATTCCCTTTCTTAATACTTTCATTAGTGCAAATAAAAGAGGGTGGGTTTTTTTTGCTGCAGCCATCAAATATTCTGTCTCTTTTATCTTCCCATCCTTATATTGTCAGGTCATGAAAGGTTTTCAAATACAGTTGGTAAAAGAAACAAGAGTAGGCTTTCAGAGTTTCATGAGCAGCTCTATTAGACAGCTCTTAATTCAGTGTGATGTTACTGAATCATAAGAATAAAGCCTACAAAATACCCTCCAGTAGCACTGATGGGTCAGAAGGAGATATTTGTGTTCAAAGGAGGTGTAAGTGATAAAAGGTGATCATTTTCAAGAGTCTCTGAATTTGGAGAAGTGACATGAAACCTCTTCCCAGGCCCCTTTAGCTCCTCTTCTCCAAGAGTGTGGTGCCAGAATTCAACAACAGACAGTGGAACCCAATTGTATATTACTATTCTACAGAACAAGTGGGTTCAAGAGGTTCATCATATCTGTTTTATATATGACAGAAGTTTTGCCTCTGGCTTCAAGACAGTTGTTTTTCTTAGACCTGCTCATTCCTGCCAGATTCTCCCCCAAATTTAGAAAAAGCTGGACTTGGAAAGAACCAGGGAGACAAGATAAAAAATCTAACATTGCAGTAAAGAGGCTCAGAGAAGGCATCATTCATATACACACACACACACACATGGGCGCATGCACACACACTCTCTCAGTTACAGTCTCTTAATTCCTAGAAGACCAATCATATTTAACACAAGAATTCTAAGACCAAGACCCAGATGAAGAAACAATCCTACAGACCATCAGAGAAAATTTCAGACCTTAGAGGAGTGTATTTTACCTTTGTTGCATATGGTAGTTGTCTTCTCTTTTTTATATGGAGAAGAAATCAAGTATCATATTGATGGCTTTTACAAAACAAACTTGATTCTGGCAAGCATACAGTATGTGCTACAGTTGAAGAATGAAATAGCAAGACAAGAGAATGAAAGATTTATTTTTTCTTTAGAAGTTCAAGGTGGAATATATAGTGTTCCTCCTCCAGATTTTTCCTATAATCCTGTGAGGCAGGCTGGGCTAAAATCACCCAGTGAAGGTAGATAACATTGGTTTTCCTCATCCTGGTCCTATTCCAGGTGCAACACCTTAACTCCTCCAGCTTGAGAGCACTTCCAACAGTCTGGCCAAGTTGGTAATTTTTCTGGAAGATTTCTGAAAAGCCCTATGATGGTCCTTTTTATCTTTGCTTATTTTTGGCAGCATTTTTGTAGGATTGAGCTCTAAATATTATTCCCTTTATGATACAAAAAACAGTTTTAAAATCTGGAAGATGAGCTAGATACCTAGCTAAATACTAGTCATTGTAAATCATGGTGTTATAACTATAAACATATTACAATATCACCATAGGTACTTTATTCTTTTTTTCATTTTTAGTTGAAGTAACCTGATGATCATTGTTTTTTTTCTCTTGTTCTTTGTCATGTTTTGCCTCTGTTTGTTATTACCTCCCTATTTTGCTCTCTAATGCAATAGAGGTACCCCAGCTTACTGACTTAAGCTTTGTTGATGTAAGTGATACAAGCATCGGCCTAAAGTGGACCCCAATAAATACTTCTGCCATTATTGGTTACCGCATCAAAGTAATTGCCACAGGAGAAACTGTCCCCATATTTGAAGATTTTGTGGATTCTTCAGTAGGATACTACATGGTTACAGGCTTGGAGCCAGGCATTGATTATGAAATCAGTGTAATCACACTCATTAATGGCGGAGAGAGTGTCCCTACTACGCTGATTCAACAAACGGGTGATTAATGAAAAACTACTGAATTAAAGTGCTGTTTCATGATGTCACTAGCTGCTTGGATGACAAGTAGAAATAGCTCCCTTACTGCTATTTTGCAGTGGGGACGACCAGTAGATAATTTTTTATTTTAGATAGTGGATTAAAATCAGAATACTCTGCATTACCACCCATTTACAATCATCTGAATTTGTCTTATTTAACTTGTGAATCTGCAATTGGAAGTCTCTTTTTTCATCAGATCCTATGTTACTAAGCTCTGATATTTGTACCTAGTTTTATGGAAACATGTAACTTTCATTCTCATAACTTCCCTATCAGAGAGGGTAAACTATACAACACAATATTCCTTGCTACATCAGTTTGATATGTGTGCAAAATTTTACCATACGTGATCCTCACATAGTGTTTGGGTATTATAGTGACCCAAATGTTGAAATAAATCCCCCAAATGATGTGGGGAAAAAAATCCTCCTCCAAACTCATGCTAGTGACAACTATGGCAGTATGGGAAGATTCTCGGTAGTGCATGTACCAAACATGACCTGAGAATTCATTATGCATGGCAGACTAGTGTTTATTCTATTTGAATGGATACTATCATGATGAAGTCATTGTAAAGACCTAGAGACTTCAGAAAAGTTGTTTAGCCTCCTCTCCTGCATGTGTGTCAAATGTTATAAAAGAAGGTATGTACTGTTTCCTTCATTGTGCTGCTGTAAAGTAAATTGAGCCTCTCATTTGATAGTCTCAAAAATTGCATTATATAGATGCAAAGGATCTCAGTTCCTTTCTATGAAGAAAAGCAAAACAATAGTAATAATGTAAGGCATAACTAGAATCTATAAAGGCTGAAATGAGAGGTTAAAGATGCTTTACAACATGTTTTGGTTTAAGTGGAATTAAAGATAGAAGGTTAGAAGGTTATTTGCATGTGTTTGGCTCAATAGTGGATTTCCTTTGTGCATGAGCTTGCATTTTTTTGAATCAGTATTGAATCTATCTCTGCTTCTTCTGACAATATATGTCATTATTTTTAAAATTCAGCTGTTCCTCCACCAACGGATCTCCGTTTCACCAATGTGGGATCTGATACTGTAAGAGTAACCTGGACTCCACCAGCATCTATTGAATTGAGCAGCTTCTTGGTTCGCTTCTCACCCATGAAGAACAAGGAGGATGTTGCAGAACTTTCCATTTCACCTTCGGACAGTGCCGTGGTTTTAACAAGTAAGAAGCTTCTTCAAATTGAAACCACTTGATTTTATAATGTTGATCTTTTGGGAGATGTATGAAAGGTTAGGTGCCTGACTTTAGTTACCATGCATTTTCTTCCACTTTTTATAATCAGCTGTAACATTCTATAGAAATAGTTGAATTTCGTGAGAGAATTTATGGCACTATAAATTAGAGGAGATAATATATTGAACTATAAGGTAACATAGCTATTGTATAGCTCTCTACATATATTTATTTCTATAGGGTTTATCTAGCCTTCAGATATCTTTTTTTTTTCAAAGTAGAGAAATTGGTTTATCAGTCATTGAGCCAAAGTTCTCATCTTTCTTCATGATTGGCCATATAATTCAGAAAAATCTGGAAAGTGAGCAGTTAACTATTTTTTGCCTTCCTCTTTTACTTGATATGATGGATTAAAAATAATTGAAAAGTTTCCATTTCAAAAGTTTCCAATTCAGTTTGCTGAGATACTGACTTCCCTTTGATAATTAGCTTATGATAGCATTTTTCATTAATAACATAATTTCTCAGAGGTGGTTTGGCTACTGCCTTTCTTAACCTTTTGACCCTGCAATAAAATTATATTCAGGACTCAGGACCCTTTCATAAAAATGGCAAAGAATACAAAGCCTTCACAATACAATACACATTTCACCTGCACAACCCATGTTTTTTGTTTAAAACAATAGAGAAGTGGTAGGCTGGCAGCTGAGTCATGGTGTGTTTAAATTTCCATCACTGCAGGTGCTAGCAAGTTCAAAAAACAATGTTTGAATCTTTTTATAATTTAACTGCTATTTATTTTATGCAGTATTAAATGAGTGATGGAAAGAATTATAAATTCTATTCAAATTCAATTGAGTTTAAGGAAATTCTTATAAATAAAGCACCTTAAGGCAGGGCTTTTCAACCAGTGGTATGGGTACCACCTGTGGTACATTGGCACCTGGCAGGTGGTATGCGACCATCCTAGAAAAGTGGTAGCGGGGGAGGGGAATGAGCTGAACCAGTGGCAGTACCGCACAAGCCTGAGCGAAAGATGGCTGGAGCTGCAGGGCTGTCAGGGCTCAGTGGAAGCGCCAGGCTCCAGCTGGAGATTGGCACTGATCCTGGCGCTTCTGCTGAGCCCTGAAAAAGCACCAATCATCTGGAAAGCAGCACTGATCCTGGCGCTTCTGCTGAGCCCAGAAGAAGCGCCGATCAGCTGGAATGTTGCAGCATCTCCAGGGTCTTGTGATTTACATTCAGATGCTTGGCAACTGATTCATATTTATGATGGTCACAGTGTCCCAGGGTCATGTGAAGTGACCAAAACCTGCTGCAACACCCAGCAGACAGCGGGAATAAAAACCGAACACCCCCCCACCCCATTGTCGCTGCCAATCCTCAACAGAAATGCTCACAACAATGAAAACCTTGGACAGGAGGAAGAGCGCCGCTGGGTGGGCAGGCAGGTGTCTTGCTCGGCTGTGGCTTGGGGGGCACTTTTTTCAGTGCCATTGTAACCTCCAACAGTCACTAAGCGAACTGTTGTAAGTCGAGGACTACCTGTACTTTAACACTTTTTTCCTTTTTTTTTTTTAGTCATCAAGTTTTTGACCCCTTGCTAGGCGACTGGTGGTACTCGGATATTGCCATATCCTAAAAGTGGTACAATGGGTGAAAAGGTTGAAAAGCTCTGCCTTAAGGCAATGGCTGGGTATCGTAATCCCAAGGAACAGAAGTTTATGGAGAGATTTGGGGTTAGGAATGAAAATGATTTTGGCTAATACTTGGGTATCATTGTGGTTGTAATCTTTCAGATCTCCTTCCTGGCACAGCATACTTGATCAAGGTCTACAGTGTATATGAACAACATGAGAGTAAACCTCTGAGTGGAGAGCAGAAAACAGGTCTGTAAAACAACAAATATAAAATAAGTGTTTCTTTAATTTTTGCCTGGAAATAAAACCATTATATATACATACACAGACAGACAGACAGATACAGATAAATAGATATATAGAGGTAGATAGATATAGATAGAAAAATAAATAGATAGATACACACATATACCTTTTATGATTGTACCATCATTTTAGCTAGAGTATGTATCTCCCCCTCAATATGATTTCTATTTAGATATTGTAAAATATGGGATTTAGACCATAACTAGCAAGGTTTCAGCTGGAAACTAAGCAGGGGCCTTCAGACAATACTGGAATTACATTTACAGAAATAAGTCTTTTTCCAAAATGAACATGGTTTCAATCTTTCAGCAATCTAGTGTGGGTTAAATTATTCCTGTTTACAATGGTTGTAGGTATATGTGGTTTTCTTTTCGCAAAAAGGCATAAACCAGTTATTGAAGTTTGGGTTTCTATTGTATTTTCTTATGAAACAGGTCTTGATTCCCCCACTGGACTGGATTTTTCAGAGATAACAGCCCATTCTTTCACTGTCCATTGGATTGCCCCCCGCGCCCCCATCTCTGGCTATAAAATACGCCATCACCTTGAACAAGGTGGAAGTAGACCCAAAGAAGTCCGTGTTGCACCATCTCGCAACTCCATCACTCTCACAGATTTGATTCCAGGGTCAGAGTATGTGGTTAGTGTATCTGCCTTTTATGGCAAAGAAGAGAGTTTGCCCTTAATTGGACAGCAAAGTACAGGTAAGAGCTAAATAAGAAAAATAATTGCAAATTATTACTGTCTTCACCTGCTGAATCAGATTCCACTTTTGAAAAAAAAATCTCTTTCCAAAAATTGAATTAGCAAGTTGAATCAGAAACCTCACTTTAATGGGTTTGGATGTGGTATAAAAACACAAGAACCTAAATGTTTAAAAATGACTTTTTGAAAAATGAAAATATACATTGTAGCAGCTTAAGTTATATAGGGACAGAAACTTCTTCAAGTTTCTTCTGTATCTATCATCACTACAAGCAGAGTTCCAGTCCTATATATCTGCTTGCTCTCTGTTCAACATAAAGATGAAAAATGTGGCAGCATCTGCAGCCAATGAGCCAGAGAAACTGGGAACATACTCTAGTGACATTAAACACAACAACAACAACAACAACAACAACAACAACAAGGTGCTTTAAGTGGTTGTGAAGGGTGTGAATAAGATAAGGAATATCTGAATCTATTTGTGGAATACCAGTTTAAAATATTGGGACCTTGCAAATACTGAAAATGATTCAGATGAAATATTTTGGACCTCATGTGAACACAGGACCTCTCTGCTCTTAATGTTGCAGTATTTTTTCCCCAGACTCATTAATCAATAGTAGAGAGGGGCTGCGAGTGAGATGAGAGAATGACAGTTGAGAGGCATTGCCAACTCCCATTCAGACTCTGTGGGAATGTGTGTAACCTTGTATTGCACTTGGAAAAGGGCCAGGGCATGTGTTTTGATGCTGCAGCATACCTTGTAAGACACTTGGGTGCTGCATGTACTGTATGTGACACCTGAATCATTTCATAAATAATTTTAAAGCATGCATTCCCTAATAATCTGTGCAGTATACTTTAGTGATCATTATGTGGTACAGTTTTGTGCAGGACAAGGCAACTGTACTATTTTGGAGGGTGGGGGATAAATTGGATCCCAAAGGCACTAAAGAAGCAATGATGTACCTTGAAATTGGCAGAGTTGAAAGTTCAGCCCATTTGGACTTCCTCAACTAGGTATGCAAAGCCTACCCATACTTATTAGCATATTAATTGCTTTACAAAGAGGAGGAGGACTCCCATATCTGAAAATTACCCCTTTGCTACTGAATTTTGGCAGCGTGATTTGGGGAACTTTGAAGTCTGCAAAAATGGATCTAGATAGCTGTATATAGTATAACAATTAAAACATGAATGAGATAAATATTAATCATTGCTTTTTTTTAAAAAAAATCCCTAGTTTCTGATGTCCCAAGAGATCTACATGTGACTGCTACTGGTCCCACTAGTCTAGTCATCTCCTGGGATGCACCTGCTGTTACAGTTCGATACTACAGGATCACATATGGAGAAACAGGTGAGCACTGTTGGATGCTGATATTTGTAAGAAAAGATTAGCCTTCAGCTGAAAAAAATAAAGGGATGGTAACAGCAATGCATGAAAGTCAATGATACCTGGAAGTGGAATATGAGTTAGAAAGGTGATAACGGATGGTTTTTCTTTCAAGAACATCGTCCTTTCCACTTTTTTAAAATATCAGTAACACATAGTAAATCTGAATCTAATATGATTTGAAATTATGACTCAATTTTAGTATAATTATAATGTACAGATTCATATCGTTTGATCATAATGTAATACAAATACAGAAGCAGTTAATGGATGACTTCACACATTACATTTTAAACTGTAGATGTCAGGTGCAAGCAACCAAAAACCACAGGCCCAAATAGATATTTAATTGTTGATCACCTATATTACTAGAATCTCAGCAGATTATTTGCCCTCTCTTGAGAAATGGCAGATGAATACCCAAAAGTTTAACTTCAGATGGTTCCTCTCTTGAACCCATTCCAAGCTGGAATGTCTCTTTACTCCCCATAGAAGGGTTCCCTCTCCTTCAGCCAGAAATGGCTCTTCAGTGTTAGAAAATAGCAGTAATTACTTTGGATATCTGCTGGCTATAATTCATTGATAAAGGATTTCAATAACTAAGGCAGATTATTAGTTTAAAGATACATTTAGAGCTGAACTCTTGGAATTTTAAGAAAACTTTTGAAATAAATTTTGAGGTATCTTTGATGCAAGTTATTTTACAAGAGCCAAGGACTTCTGGTTTTTCAGATATTTTATAGTTTAGTTAGAAGATGCCACTAAAACATTAACTGCTGTGGCTGGGTCATAACAGTATATATGTTTTTCCTTTTATAGGAAGTTAATGGAAAGCGAGAGCCACTTTGGTGTAATGGTTAAGACATTAGGCTTGAAACTGGGAAACTGTGAGTTCTAGTTCCACTTGGGCACAAAGCCAGCTGGGTAAATTTGGGCCAGTTACTCTCTCAGCACTAGTAAGTAGGCAATGATAAGACACTTTGGAAAAACCTTGCCAAGAAAACTGGAAGTACTTGTCCAAGCAGTGTCAGAGAATTGAACAGAGGGGAAAAAACTGAAAAGCATTTCAAGATGATGAGGAGGAAGAGGAGGAAGATGAATATCTAATTGTTTGCACTATTCCCCCAGGTGGCAGTGGGCCTGTTCAAGAGTTCACTGTTCCTGGTCATGTCTCCACTGCTACGATTCCTGGTCTTAAGTCTGGAGTAGATTATACCATTACTGTGTATGCTGTCACTGGGCGAGGGGACAGTCCTGCCAGCAGCGAACCTGTCAGCATAAATTACCGAATAGGTAAATCTGATTTCTTTTTGGATTAAAGAGATAAACAATCTGTTGCCTTCATTTAATCTGTTATATGCTCAGAGTTTTTTCTATTTGCTCTGATCATTTGCAACTTATTGAAAATATTTATATCTTGCTTTTATAGTGTACTGAAATGTTTTGCAACAGTAAATGAAAACATGTTTTTCTTTGTGGGTCTTTTTAATTAGATCAGAATGGTTGATAATTATTTTAATTTTTAAAAATTTCATTATCATTTGAAAGGATCCAAAGAAATTGAAACAGGCACCTAAGAGAGATACAGAAAAATAGAATAGGAAAGGCAAGAAGAATGATAAGTGTTTCTAATGGTAAACTTTAGTAGAACCAGTTGTCAAGAAAGGTAATGAGTAAGGTAACACTGTAAACCAAATTTAAAAAAAATGGGGGAATTTGTAATCAGAGCATCAGTATTACCTCGTTGATTTTTTTCTAGCATCTGGAATTTAGATCAACAACATCTAATAATATTCAATTTATCTGCTGGAGCTGCATATAGAGATGGAGTAGGTAAAAGGAAACTAACACCATTGGCTTTAGAATGATGAAAAATCTCCAAAAATTGCTACCACATCCTAAGCTGAATGAGAGCAATGTTAGGTGTAACTGAAATAACTGAAGTACTAGCAATAAAGTAATATTGCTTGTAGTTAACATATTTTTTGCACATCAAATTAAAATGGCATGAAATACAGGGAAATAAACTGTAAAAATGTACAAAGAAAGCATTAACTAAAACACACACAAATATGTTAACTTTAATTTTTTTAATAAACAATGTTTAATAAAAACAATACATTTTAAGATGGCACCTTTACAGAGCTGCCATAAGGGATCTGAAAAAGAACTGTATGAAGAACACTTGTTCTCTATATTAGCTTTCTGCATAATCTCTCATGATGGGGCATCCTGAGTATTTTAAATTGGTAGGAAGATTCAGTTGATACAACCAGGAATTAATACAGAGTAACATGATGCTATATATTCCTTTGGCTATCAGTTTTATTGAATAATTGCAGTGATAGTTTTCACTTCTAGTTCTCTATTTTGAAATTGCATTTTTTCATAATTTTTAATGAGCTTAATTTTGTGCTTCACTGATTCTTGTTATATTGAAATTGTGATTCTTAATCTGTTTTTTGTACTTCACCAAGAGGCATTCTGACCAAAGGTATGAATAAGAATAAGAATATGTTAGGATTTAAGAACATTGGAGCCTGAAGGACAACATCTAATATAGAAAATTAAATTTTCATGTGCAGAGGTTGATACACCATCGCAGCTAGAAGTTACTGATGTTCAAGACAACAGCCTTACAGTGCGGTGGCAGCCTTCTTCCCCAGTGACTGGTTATAGAGTGACAGCTACCCCCAAGGATGGCCATAGCCCCACAAAAACTAGAGTTCTTTCTGCAGGTAAGCACAAAGAAATCACAGGAAGCAGGATGCAATCTGAGTATTTCAATGAAAGTAAGGAAACTCTAATTTTAATTTGACTCGCTTGCAAGTATAATGTGGGATTATGTGTCATGGTTCCGATAGATGAAACCCATCAAAAGAACTTCGAGGTAAAATTCTTCCTTAAAGAACATTTATTCAGGAAACAAAGTATCTGCACTACATAGTTGAACCCAAAAACTAAATTCCCTTCCCCCTGATACAAAGTAACAAAGTACAATTCCCACCCCCAATAAACTTATAAAGCACATTCCCCAATTTGCTTAAAGCTTGGGCTTTCTCCTCAGCTCCTCAGCCTGCCAAAATGTTATCAGCCAGTCCTTGGGTTCCCACAGCAGCGTTAGCTGAGCTTACATCCCAACCCACCCACCCCTCCGCTGCACCTGATTTCTAAAAGCAAGAAAAAGCATGTTAAAGGAGAAGAGAAAATGACTGCATTTTCATCAGTTGTCAGAGCAGTGTTAGCAGCATTGACATTATGATTGTCTATTATGTCTTTGGGAGGTTTTGCAGAAGAGAAGGAAATTGTGAAGACTGGAAAGATGATGCTGAGAACTGTGGACAAACTGATATCATACCATTAATACCACATGTTCCACCTAAGAAATGTTTTTAGATTGAATCTCAGTAAGCTTGTAGATATTTCTGCTTGATTGGTTATAGTGATTGGCAGAACTCTGACTTGTCTGTAGAATATAGAAATCACCCCTTTGGTAAACATATTGCTTCTAAGCACATTCTTTCCTTAGCAGAGTTGAGCCAGACTTGTTTTCATGGGGAACGAAGAGCAATAAATTAAGAGGGATGACAAATGGAAGAAATTTCAAGTCAAAAGGGGATCAAGGGTGTGTTACTACCATGACATTTTATTCCATGGCCATGGATTAATGAAGAACATTTACTTCTCTGCCTTGTGACCACAAGATAGACCAGATTTTCTTTTTTATAGTTTGTGGGATCTTTTTCTTTTCAAGAAAAGGCTTGCTAGCGGGAATTTACATGATTCTTTTCGGATCAGTTCTTTGGCTTATCTTGAGGTGGGCCATAGAATACAACCTTAGCAACTGCTTTTAATTTTGGATTCTTTACAGTTTGTAGATTTTGAGGAAATGCAAATATGGGCTTTACTACTTGTTACTCAATTCTCAATTAAATCAGCCATAACAGGATTAAACGTGTGCTTCTGGGAAGTGAACAAGTTCTTCTTGTGAGAGATATGACTTCTCTCCTGCTTAAGCAAGACAGCTAAGAATTAGAAAGCCATAGCCAATATTAAACATTTAATTACTGGTGAAAGTATTTGTCATTGTACTTGTAATATAACAAGATTTTGGGGGGGGGTTTATCTTGATGAAGTGCTGAATTAGTAGTTATGCTGGGGAGGTGTTTTGCAGTCTTGGGCTACATCCAGATAACATTGCTGAGGGATTACTATTGGCTTACCACAGAGTCCCATTTTGTCCCTTACATCAGTGGTGGCGAACCTATGGCACGCGTGTCAGAGGCGGCACTCGGAGCCCTCTGTGGGCACGCGTACTGTCGCCCCAACCCCGCCTCCCCCTGTGGCCCCCTCCTCACCAGAGGCCCCCCCCCGGAGGAGAGTCGCCCCTGGGCGTGGCCTGCACGGAGCAGCGCAGCCAAGGACATAGACAGGCAGCAGGGACAAGACTCCGCCCTTGCGCCCCATAGCGTAAAGAAGATGCTACAGGGTGTGGGCGGAGGGCGTGGCTGCCATGGCGCTGCAGGGCTGCCTGGGTGATCTGCGGCAGGCCATGGAGGCAGTGCGTGGCCCTGCGGGTGGGCGGGGCAGGGGGCGGGCAGGGGCGGAGCAGGCAGGATGGGAGGCGGAGCGGGGGCAGGGGGCGGTTTTGGGACACTCAGTCTCTAAAAGGTTCGCCATCACTGCCTTACATTGTTTATATTTAATGAAGCTACTTGTTTCATTGTCATGAAGAATGTTGATATAACATTCCACTATATCCCAAAGCCCCCCTGATCTACTTCTGTTTAATGTGCTGGATAGTGGCTTATACTTGACAATGGAATAGATGAGTATGAATAAGCTGGAATTATGCCCTGAGATAAGAGAGAGGTGCAATTACTCATTAGAAAATTGGGTTAGATTTCTGAATTGTGGCAGTAGCAAGGAACATGCTTGCATATTATAGTTTGTTTCTGAGCTGGTCTGATTACAATGCAGTCATTGATGCCTTAATCATAATGTAATTAAATGATATAATGTTATCTGTGTAGGACTGCTCTTTAAGAATGTCTAAAAAATTACGTTGATGAAGAATGTGGGAACTAGACAGGTAATCAGCATTAGACAAAATGTTGCCACACTTTGCTGAAAAAATCTACTTTGCCCATTTTTCTCATAGTTCAAAGATGCTGAGTTTAATCTTTAAAATTCAAACTACCTCATACCTGAGCGATTGTTTTCTCTCCTTGCTTCTCAAGACATCAAGGTCTGCAAGTCAGTTCCTGTACTTTCAAAGTACTGTTTTTATACCTACATAGAGACCAAAATGTACTGAGTAGAANTATATAAAAATGCTTGGGAGAAGAGAGATAGTTTGACAGCCACTTACTGTGATCTTGGTATGTAGAGGAAGGTCTCCTCCTATGGAATATAAAATGTGGCAAACCATGAATTCTTGAGTTATCCTCATACCCTCAGTGTTAGAAGAAATAAGTATCTCTCTTTACAGACATTTTGAATATTTTATAAAGAAGTTAATAATTGTGTTATTAATTATGTCATTATCATTCTGCTTTGCTTTTTTTGATTTGGATTGTTTGAATCCATAGCCTTTGATTTGGATTGTTTGAATCCATAGCCTTTGATTTGGATTGTTTGAATCCATAGCCTTTGATGATAGGCAAGAAAACGGTAAGTGAGCACCTGTCTAGCCTAGATGATTTCAAATCACCAGGACCAGATGGATTACACCCCAAGGTTCTCAAGAAACTGGCAGCTGTGATCTCAGAACCACTGAACTATATTTTTCAAAAATCCTGGAGCACTGGGGAACTACCGGAGGACTGGAAAAGAGCTGATGTAGTTCCCATCTTCAAAAAAGGGAAGAAAATGGACCCAGGAAATTACAGACCTATCAGCCTGACCTCAATACCTGGGAAGATTTTGGAAAAGATAATCAAACAACGAATCAGCGAACACGTAGAGGCAAATAAAGTCATTACTAAAAGCCAACATGGGTTTGTCAAAAACAGATCATGCCAGACAAATCTTAGTGCATTCTTTGACCAAGTGACAAAATTAGTGGATCAGAGGAATGCTGTGGATATAATTTAGTTGGACTTCAGTAAGACATTTGATAAAGTAGATCACAACCTACTACTTGACAAGATAGAAAAATGTGGGTTAGACAGCATCACCACCAGATGGATCCGTAGCTGGCTGACCGGCCATACTCAGCGTGTGGTCCTCAGTGGAACGGCATCTACATGGAGGGAAGTGTGTAGTGGGGTGCCCCAGGGCTCTGTTCTGGGCCCAGTGCTCTTCAACCTCTTCATCAATGATCTGGACGAGGGGATAGATGGGGAACTCATCAAATTTGCAGATGACACCAAGCTGGCAGGAATAGCCAACACTCCAGAAGACAGGTTTAAGATACAGGAGGATCTGGACAGATTTGAACACTGGGCGCTATCCAACAAAATGAAATTCAATGGTGAAAAAAGTAAGGTTCTACATTTAGGCAAGAAAAACCAAATATACAGGTATAGTATAGGGGGTACCTTGCTCAATAGTAGAAACTGTGAGAGGGACCTTGGAGTCCTAGTGGACAATCACTTAAATATGAGCCAGTAGTGTGCTGCAGCTGCTAAAAAGACCAACACAGTGCTAGGCTGCATTAACAAAGGGATAGAATCAAGATCACGTGAAGTATTAATACCACTTTACAATGCCTTGGTAAGGCCACACTTGGAATACTGCATCCAGTTTTGGTCACCACGATGTAAAAAATGTTGAGACTCTAGAAAGAGTACAGAGAAGAGCAACAAAGATGATTAGGGGACTGGAGGCTAAAGCATATAAGGAACGGCTGCTGGAATTGGGTATGTCTAGTTTAATGAAGAGAAGGATGAGTGGGGACATGATAGCAGTGTTCCAGTATCTCGGGGGCTGCCACAAAGAAGAGGGAGTGAAGCTATTTTCCAAGGCGCCTGAAGGCAGGACAAGAAGCAACGGATGAAAACTAATCAAGGAGAGAAGCAACCTGGAACTAAGGAGAAACTTCCTGACAGTTAGCACAATTAACCAGTGGAACAACCTGCCTCCAGAAGTTGTGAATGCTCCAACACTGGAAGTTTTTAAGAAGAGACTGGACAGCCATTTGTCTGAAATGGTATAGGGTGTCCTGCCTGAGCAGGGGGTTGGACCAGATGACCTCCAAGGTCCCTTCCAACTTTATTATTATTATTATTATTATTATTATTATTATTATTATTATTATTATTGACAACCACATTGACCAGCATTTGAGGAAGGAATGTATTTTGCATATCCAGTTTTAGTACACAAATTGTGGTGGTTTTGATTTAGTAAACAAATAAGTTGCTTAGTATGAAGACTGTGTATCTCTAGTAATACTTTTTTTAATCTCCTCCTAGAGGATTTAAAAAGCAATGTATGTTAGGCATGGGGACCCACTCTTTAAAGGGGAAAAAAGGGAAATACGTCTTACTATATTTGAAACTTGGAATACCAGCAGTTGCTACCATCTACCTAAAGGTCATAAAGACTGAAGTCATAGATTCTATATAAGCAAGCTAGTCCACTATTTGGTGCAGCTTCCCAACATTGGGCAGATTTTGAGATGTTCTAAAACAGGAATTGTTGTTTCAACACGAGCTAAAAGAATGTTTGCCAAAAATGTAGGTCTTGTTAATCATGTAATTTATACATGCTTAAAACTTCTGATGACAATCTGTTTTTAAAAACACTGAAACACAATGGGTACCATTGACTATTTCTAGAGACAAGTATTTCTGCATTTACATTGTCAAAATATTTGTGACTGTGAAATCTGTTAAATTGTTTCTTTTGCTTTGAAACAGTTTCTATGCAAAATAATCCTATCCTAGGATTATTTAGAACTACTTATCTTTCTTCTTGATGGACAGCTGAATAGCTGAGATGGTTAAGACAAAAAGAGACCATATATAAATATATATTTATTTTTTGCAGAACAAACAGAAGTCACAATTGATGAACTACAACCTACAGTTGAGTATGTGGTTAGTGTCTATGCCCAAGGGCCAAATGGAGAAAGCCAGCCTTTGGTTGAGAAAGTTGTTACAAGTATGTAAATTCACATTTCTCACATTTCATAGTAGGAGAACAATGTCTACAAATATCTAAATCTTTTGGGACATGTTTATTATCAAAATTTTGAGAAAATGGCAAAAACAATGCTTTTCTCACAGTTAAGTCATTTTTACCACAAACTGTGTTTACATTAAAATTAAAACTAAAATTATGTTAAAATCATTAATTGATTAATAATTTGGAAAAAGATAATCTGATTGAAAAAAGCAGTTCTTTATGTACTATTTATTTACAGTGCAACATTTTTTATTTTTGCATTAGAAAATACAAAGAAATTTAAATCCAGGATTTAAAATAGCAGTATTAAGGGGTTTTTTTAAACCAAAATTTGCCTTTGTTTGACACAAAATCAAATCAAATACCTGTTTGGGATTTATTGCTACTCACATTGAAGCTGTCGTTTCACAAATAAATAGGTATGTGAGCAGTAGCAATAGGCTGCAGTCTTATTCTTACTTAACTGGAAATAAGCCCACTGAACAAAAGGGAACTTCTATTCAAGGTAACTGTAAGATCACCCTGTAATCAATTAGCTGTGTTAGCTGTGATGTAAGTGTCTTTCTGTGGTACTCTAGGCAGGAGAAAAATGAATTATATTTCTTGATGTGCAAAACCAAGAATGCTTTGCTTAGAACAAGAGCGCTTTGTGCTACCCCACATCTGCTTTGCATCCTCCTCTGCTTAACCTTTCACCATTAATTTGCCTAACAGACATTGACCGTCCTAAAGGACTGGCATTCACTGCAGTGGATGTTGATTCCATCAAAATTGCTTGGGAAAGCCCACAGGGGCAAGTCACCGGATACAGGGTGACCTACTCAACCCCTGAGGATGGAATCCAGGAACTATTCCCTGCTTCAGATGGTGAAGACGACACTGCGGTGCTGCATGGCCTCAGGCCGGGTTCTGAGTATACTGTTTACATTGTTGCCTTGCACAATGACTTGGAAAGTCTACCTTTGATTGGGACCCAGACCACAGGTACACATGAAATAATGTCACCTGGTGGCCATGATAGCTGTCCCTTCTTGTGAAGGAATCCAGTTGCAACTAATTATCTGTGAAGTGCAGTGCTGAGGTATGGGACTGGAGAAACATCAGTGGATGATCATAAGGAGGATTAATAGAACCAAAACATTACTGTGCAACATGGGAGATATGGAATCACACATAAACTTCCACATCCATGCACAAACAAAAGAAAAATGTTTTTAGGGTCAGATTTTTTTTTGTTCCTTCTCTCAGTTTCCACAGCTTCCCTCTTTCTGCAGCTGATATAATAACTCAGATATTATATATCTATATGTAATATATGTGTCTATATATATAATAATATATACTCCTCAAAAAAATAAAGGGAACATTTTACCATGGAACTGAAGGGGTTTGCGTTCCCTTTATCTTTGTGAGCAGTATATTTCAGCTGTAGTATACATTTGAAGGGACATAGGTGGCGCAACAAGGAATAGATCTGGATTTATGACATTTGTGTGAGCATTTTGTTTTAATTTTTGTAAGTAAGAATTTCCTCTGGTTCAAATCCTGATCATGATAATTGGAACAGGATACTTTATATTTCCTTTTATAAACCGAATGTTATATGCAATTGTTGGACTTTTTGGAATTTTGAAAACATTTTTGCAGTGATCTCCCAAAATGGCTATTACTATGAATTTTAATCTAATCGTAACATTGATGATATGGTGACTGCAACCAGTCTCAAAACTTTCATTTTCCAGGAAGAAAATGGGTGGGTTGCTTTGCACTTTCACCTTTAGTCTACTACAGGGTTCCCCAATCTATGGCCCACCTATTGGCCATTGGGCCATGGGAATGGCTGGCGAGTGTGCGCATGTGTGTCTGCACCCCCCACTCACGCTAGTGCCACTGCGCAGGTGCTAGCGGCCCCGTTTGTGCTTGCGCGGGGTGCTAGCACTGCCGCCAGCATCACGCGGGTGCTACCAGCCTGTTTGCGCATGTGCGTGGGTGCTAGCGGCCCATTTGCTCATATACGCGGGCACTAGTGGCTCACTTGTGCATGCACATGGGCACTAGTGCCACCGCCGTGTATGCGCCCATTTGCCTCATGCGTATGTGGACTGCGGCCGGGCACATTTCCGCCAAGCCGGAAGGGTTGGGGAACTCTGGTCTACTATCTCTATTGTGCCAATTTACCTTGTCATTTTGGGAGTATGTATATGTCCATGTCCAGATTAAGTTGTGGTATAATGGCTCACTTGTTATTTTGCGTTGTGGGACACTATTTTATGATCTCAAAAGAGATAAATGTAGTTTTGAAATTTACTGCCCTATATTCAATAGGAAAGAAAGTTTAAACTAGTTTCTAGCTTTCATTTACAATGCATGAAAACTTTAAAAAAACTGTTGTAACTATAACAAAAAATTAAAATACTGAATTGATAGTAGTTAAAAGACTTAGATGGCTTTTTGTATTACTGGGTTCTTTCCATATAATCTCAATTTGTAATTCTAAATTTAACAGCAATCCCACCTCCTACAAATCTGAAATTTATTCAGGTTGCTCCAACAAGTCTCACACTAACTTGGACTGCACCAAATGTGAAGCTTACTGGATATCGAGTGAGAGTAAATCCCAAGGAAAAGAATGGCCCAATGAAAGAAATTAATCTTGCTCCAGATAGCACATCTGCTGTTATCTCTGGACTAATGGTAATGCTTTTTATTATTGTTGATTTTATGTACTTATTTTGCAGCAATTTAAAATATAGTGGGAGAAAAATATAACTCATATACAGTTTTATATATCAGAAATTTCTTTAAAAATGTGATCCCTAGGTAATTCCATATTAAAATCAGTGAGCAAACACGAGCACCAGGGAATATGGTAAAATAATTTAATATTAAAATTACTAATTAAAACACCAATTAAAAAATGCCTAGCTTTCGTCAGCTATCTGCTGA